AGATGGAAAAATCCCTTGCTCCAACGATGCGTTAATGATCAACACAAACCAATCAACCAACCCCTCCTTGGCAGATTTAATAAGCCAGGATGGGCAAGGGTCTAGAGCCGAAGTGGTCGCCCTCACAGCCCCAAGGACCTCCTCCACGGTCTCAGGAAGAACAAGCCGAAAAGAATCCCACAAAATTGGACAAGCAGATGCCTCAGTCACCTCCTCTGGCACTGCGATGAAATTGGAATCGAGCTCAAGACGTATCTGGGCAACCTTGCCTGCAAAGTGGTGTGCGAAATCGCAACACCGAGCTGCTGGGTCGTCAGGAGTCTCATCGACCACAGATGGGTGAAGGAGCTCCCCGACAACCCGAAACAACTCTGATGACCTATTCGATGCAGACGCTATCCGGGCGGTCGTGAAGGATTCCCTGGCCGCCCGTATGGCCACGGAGTATGCCTTAAGAGAGGCCTTAGTCCGTGCTTGATCAGACACATCCCGAGATTTCCTCCATTTGCGCTCTAGCCCCCTTCTCGTATGCTTCATCACAGCCAACTCCTCGGTAAACCAAGGAGACGGCCTGTTATGACGCAACGAGACGGGGCGTTCGGGAGCGATCGTGTCTATCGCCCTGGATATCTCCCTATTGTAAAGGTCGACCAAGGCGTCAACAGGATCGCCAGGTTCCATGGCAGGAAGAACCCCAAGATTCCTCAGGAATCCATCCGGATCCATCAGTCTCCTGGGGCGGACCATCTTAATTTGTCCTCCACCCCTGCGAAGGTTGGTGATCGCAGCGAGCCTAAAGCTGACCAGATAGTGATCAGACCATGACACTGGAAGAATGTTTTGCTCTTCCACTCTGATCATTCCACTGTCCGCCACGAAAACTAGGTCAAGAGTGTGTCCAGCCTGATGGGTGGGACCTGATATAATTTGTGACAGTCCTATGGTCGTCATGGCGGCCATAAAATCCTGAGCTGCGCCAGACAAAGAGGTCTCAGCGTGGATGTTAAAATCTCCCAACACCACCAAGCGCTGGGAGATCAGGGCTGAATTAGAGACCACCTCCGCTAGCTCAGACAGGGAAACTACTGGGTCGCGGGGTGGGCGGTACACCAGCAGAAACCCCACACTGTCACGGTTCCCCACCCTCAGGTGGACACACTCAAACCCAGGTGCCTGCGGAACAGCGCATCTGGCCACGGCGATGGATTGCCGAAAGACCACTGCGACCCCTCCTCCCCGCCCCCCTTGTCTGGCCTGCTGATGCACCCCGAAACCCGGTGGGCACAGCTGGGTGAGATTTACTCCCCCCAGCTCATCCAGCCAGGTTTCCGTGATGCATGCCAGATCCGCTCTCTCATCCAGAATCAAGTCCTGGATGGCAGCGGTCTTACCATTAACGGATCTGGCATTGATCAGCAGGACCTTAAGACCAAGGGGACTGCCATGGCGCCTACCACTTCCTACCTTCTCCAGGGTCGCAAGAACTCTGTTGCGCTTCTAACAAGAGGCATCTGTATGGGCACTGAGTAGGGAGAATTAGAGAAGTGAAACAATCCTTCCTTTCTTGAGAGGCATCATGGGGCTTCATCCAGATCAAGATTGAATATTTGAGCATTTCTCAACGTATGCACCCTGGTGCACCACAAACAGCTCCCAGGGACAGCATGGGATAATTCTCCCTTGCATTTTTCACCAATTCAGTTCTGTTAATTTGGCTGCTATTGCAGATATTTGGTCCTGAACAAGATGTGGCTGTTATTGTATGGCAGCAAGTGCCACAGTGGAGGCTGCCACTTCCTCCTCTTCCTGGGATGCAAGATTAGATATTAGTTACTAGAAGTGGCTCAGTGCTACCTCTGGAATTGCTCCTCTCTGGAGTGGAGAGGATGAGGAGTCAAGAGGAGAGATGGTGTTAGCTTGCTTCTCAGCATGTTAACTTTGAGTGTACTATTAACCTCAGTAAATCTTCCAGGTCTATATGTCATGCCTTCCCTCAATGTAGATTTAATAATTTTAAGCTCAAAAAGTGTAGTATTATCAACAGTTGTTAGTATAAGTATATTAGTATACATGGATAACTGTTTACATTCTCTAAGTTAAACAGTGTATAAAAGAAATGTGTTCAACAATAGCTTCTGGTTCTGGTTGCTTCTGATTGCTTAAATCAAGAAATAGTTTTCTAAGATCTACAGAGACATTCGCTGGAACACCTCAGCAAGCGAGAATCCAAAAGTGGCAGGCTCAAACCCAGAACCTCAATCAATGGCTGATACCAAATGAGAGACTCCCCCCTGGGCACACAGAAAACTGGGCGACTTGGAAGGCACTGAACAGACTGCGCTCTGGCACCACGAGATGCAGAGCCAACTTCAAGAAATGGGGCTATAAAGTGGAATCCACGACATGCGAGTGTGGAGAAGAGCAAACCACTGACCACCTGCTGCAATGCAACCTGAGCCCCGCCACTTGCACAATGGAGAACCTCCTTGCAGCAACACCAGAGGCACTCCAAGTGACCAGCTACTGGTCAAAGGACATTTAATCAACTACCAAGTTTGCAAACTCAGTTTTGTCTGTTTGTTAAAAAAAATGTTAAAAATGTAATACAATTGTCTGGTTGATACTGACACGTTAAATAAATAAGAATTGCTTAAGAGAAATGCTGTGTAAGAGTGTATTAAAATTGTCCAATTTTAATATACTCCTGATAAAAATATATGAATCTGGTAAGAACTAAACTAGATCACATGCTCTCTTAGTTTGAGGAAAATCAGTTTTCTGGTTAGTATGATACAGAGCAATTCTAGCTTAGGTCACTGATCCTCCATTGAGCTGTTACTAAAACAGCAGTGTATCATATGCACGCGTAAGGGTAGATAGATATATCAGCTAATAATAATGATAAGAATTTTAATAAATTTGCTGAACCAGCAGATACGCCTTCTAGCAAACTAAACAGCGACTAATTAGTAGTATAGCCTGCAGTGAGGTCTAGAAAACACATGGAAAACACTCTGCAAGCTTCTTCTTGCCTTGCTTTTTTGTCTGGCAGTTCCTTTAGCTCAGGGAGAAGAAGGAATTTGAAATTTGGCTCTCAGAAGATCAATTCTAAAGAAGCTCTTTGTGTATCAACCTTCATGCAGAAACTGAGAGGCTGCTTCTTGCCCTCCCAGGTCTCAGCTGAGTTGTGATTTAAGGTCTACACTCATTTCCCCCTTTCCTGAGTAAAAACTGCAGAAGCGATATATGAGCATCACGCCAGAACTCTCATTGCTAATTAAATATACCTATAGCCTGGTATATTATTACTTTTGCTTCTGCAAATCTGGGATGACGATGACCTCAGCAGTAGTGTGGCCTCATTGTTCAAATCAAAATGCTTTGTAAAGATGATTGGGTCCTAATGATTCTCAGGGACTTGTTTTCTATAAAGTACTAGCAATAACTACAGAATCTACAACTTACAATCAGAAACTCCAAATAGATTCTGATGTGTTGTCATATGTTGTGACTTCCAATATGAGGTGTAGCCAGGGGTGGTAATTTCCTTTTTTTTTTTTTTGCTCTAAAATGTCTAAATTTGAGCTTTGTGGCAGTTCATCTGAGGATTTTATTGTTTGCGATTACTTTCTCAGATAGTATGCAAAGGTAACAAACCATCCACCACAAAGGCATACTAATGATAGATAGTTTCCCAAAACATTTGTTTAGTTTGTGATGATATTAAGTGCATTGAATGGTGCCTGGAAAACTGAATAAATTCACATTCTTGAGGCCAAATATTTATTTAGAACTAGCCATCCCCTGCCATGCATTGCTGTGGCCCAGTCTGGTGATCTGGAAAAGTAATGAGAAAGTGTTGGCGTAAATAGTATTTCTTCTTGTTGCTTTGTCAGTGTTGATGTGGAGATTGTCTGGTTTGCCTACTCTGGAACATGCAATATAGCATTGTCCTTCTTTAGGCGTCCCTTTTAAATCTATGAGACTTTATCTGTGTGTGTGTGTGTGAATCTTATATATCTATCTATATCTGGATGGCTCTTTGTCAGGAGGGCTTTGATTATGTTTTCTTGCCTTGGAGAAGGGAGTTGGACTGGATGGCCTTAAGTATTTTCTGTTGGTCATGGGGATTCTGTATGAGAAGTTGAGATGTTCTTTTATTGTAGGTGAAGTATAAATCCCAGTAACTCTAACTCCCAAATGTCAAGGTCTATTCCCCCCAAATTTCATCTGTGTTCATATTTGGGTATATAGAATATTTATGCCAAGTTTTGTCTAGATCCACCTTTGTTTGAATCCACAATGCTCTTTGGATGTAGGTGAACTACAACTCCAAAACTCAAGGTCAACCAATCCCCTTTAGTATTATCTGTTGGTCATGGGAGTTCTGTGTGCCAAGGTTGGTTCAATTCCATCGTTGGTAGAGTTCAGAATGCTCTTTGATTGTAGGTGAACTATAAATCACAACAATGACAACTCCCAAATGACAATAGTGATGGTCACTCCTTGGGTTAGTAGGTGTCTTGTGTCCAAATTTGGTGGCAATTTGTCTGGTGGTTTTTGAGTTACATTAATCCCACAAACGAACATTACATTTTTATTTATATAGATAAAGTGATCACTTTATATTCAAAAGAGATTATGATATATATAGTGTCAAAATCTGTTAGATTTAATTATGTGTAATTTAAGAATTCCTTTTGTGAATACGTATTAATTATTTTTCCGTATGTGTACCTGAACTGTTTTAACTTGATAAAGATCAGTAGTTTTGTTATATCTACTTAATTATGGTTGCAGACCTGGTAGTAACCTGAACCAGAAAGAGCTTTTTCGAATTTAAGTTAGTATTAGGAAGGTCAACCAGATATTTCCTCCTTTTACAAGATTCACTATATGTATGCATGCATATATAAAAAATATCTTGTTATTTATTCGTTCAGTCGCTTCCGACTCTTAGAGGATAAGATTTGTATCTCTTCTTCTTTTTTCTCTTCTAGGCCCTTGATGAGCCTCCCTATTTGACAGTGGGCACTGACGTGAGTGCAAAATATCGAGGAGCCTTCTGTGAGGCCAAGATCAAGACAACTAAAAGACTAGTTAAAGTGAAGGTACGTACTCTCATATTCATTATTGAGTCCAATCAGGTGGGGAATGGACAATCCTTGAGATGTTGGCTTGTTACACTCCACAGTTTTAGCCAGTAAAGCCAATGGTGAAATATGGTAGTGCTGTAGTTCAGCAAACCTGGAGAACCACATTCTTCCCATCCCTTATGTATATGTAAAGCTCTTGAATGTGTAGATCTCACAGTGTGGATTTCTTTAGAGACAGTAAATTGAGGAGTACCTTCCATAGTAGTGAGTGGCCAGAGTCATCCCACTTCCAATAAATTTGTTGGGGATGCAGTGATTTATAATGAGTGTAGCAGCACCAGCAGAGCATTAGCGTTGTTGTTTTTTTAAAAAAACAGTAACTATAAAATATAAAAGTACTTTAACTATACCTTTTATCTTTAACTGTACTACAGATAAAAAGATATTGGAAAGGATGAAAAATGGTGGAAAAGATTATGGGAAATAATGAATTAATTATATGTGCATGCATTCCTGGGTAGTAGCAACCATCAGTGATCTTGCCCAGATCCCATTAATTTCAGAAAGACATGCCCAACCCTTTTTTATTTTTTTAATTTTATTTTTAATGCTTTGTGAACTGTCTATCCTGGCACTATTTGCATTTCCCCACAAGTGTTGCCCGAACTGTAATCACAATTCAGGAGAGTGAAAGCATGAATCAGTTAATCAGTGTGATTGATGCATTAATTCCTTTAAAAAATGTAATTGTAATCATCAAATTATAAGAACATTAATAATAATTTTGACAGGCATGGTTCCCCATACATATCACTTTAGATTGAGAGAGTGAAGGTTCCTTGCTGGCTGTCAGCTAATTTGTCCTTGTTTGGAGGTCCCTCCTATCACCCTGTGGTGACTTGCGTTTTCCAACTCATGACCAGCAATATAGTTTGAACAGGCAGAGTTGGCATCCACATTCCACTTAAGCCCTCTTAATTTTTGGAACCTCAGGATATAGACATAGTCTGGGATAAGAATTATGCATTCCTTTGATTTTCTAGACTATTTTATTATATATTGTCAGATATACACAGATATACACTCTGCCTATTCTCAGAGAATAATATATGTTTCAGTTTCTGTGAAAGGAGGGGGGAAGTTCAGTTTGATTCCACCTTCTTATAGCTATTCATGTATGTGCTATTCGCATAGATTTCTTGGAAGTCACACTCAGGATTTCATTGGTCTAGGCAAGAGCAAGCTTGTGATTATCTATTAGAGATGTTTATCATAAGCAAAGAAGTATGTGTGATTAAACAATTGCTATTAAAGAGTATATTTAGGAAAGTTAATCTCCAACATAGTCAATGTGTATATACAATTGCTTTGTGGTATCTTTTTCAAAATATCACCTGTATTGAAATACAGGGTTATTTATTAAGTTGATGCAGTTGTTTGACAGCCAGTGGCATAGTCTACAGCTTTTGTGGACACATGACACTAAGATCAGAAATATAGCAATGCTTGCATTGTGTTAATTGTTGTTTGAACTCTGTATTCTAGGTAACTTTCAAACATGATTCATCCACTGTGGAAGTTCAAGATGATCACATAAAAGGTGCTTTAAAGGTAATGTATTTGAATATTTATAGGATAACTATATTTATAATCAAACTTACTGATGCACAATACATTATTTAGTATTCCAGCAAATTAGACTGTTATTTACACATAGTATAAGTTGGTTCTGTTAACCAACTTATACTATGTGTAATAACAACTTATACTATGTGTAAATAAAAGTACTTCCTCTGCCATACTGCATATGTTGATCAGGATAGTTATGTACTCTTTGTTATCTGAAAGAGAGCGCACAATGTTTAAAGGTGCATCAAAGCACTCCTGGCCTCATTCTTCTGTTGCATGATTTTGGTTTGACCTAGAAAGTTCCACAAACATTCTCTTTTGTGTGTGTGTGTGTGTGGGGTGGGGGGGGGGGTTGGATGTGGATATGTGAAATAGTGGAGATTGACTCTGTGGATAAGAGGGTCATGCTATATTTCTGTTTGCATAGTGTCCACATGTACATTTCATTTGTCTTTGTGATTTACACAAATGAGTTCACTATGCCAGCATAGTGCATTCAGAACCTTCTAGAGCTGTTGTATAAGTATTTTGGTGGCAGCCCCTCATCAACAATTCATGTGACCAGTCTGATTCCTCCTCAAATCTTTAGTTCCTTTTCATCCACTGTTGCTGTGATTTGTGTTGTCTGATGTACCTTGGAGAATGCTATAATGTGGGATCTTGTAGCTACTGTAAAGTGTACTCCACATGCACATAAAAAACGAGCTCTTCTATGCTTAAGAGTCTTCTTTATGATCATGCTCTGTCTGTGCTTTGGACAAGCCTCCAATGTGAGTCACTTACAGCTACTGCTTCACTCTTCAGTAGTTCCTACAGTCTCTGATTCATTTGTCTGTTTGGCAGTAAGAAGATCTCACCAGGAATCTGAAAATCTTTCAGAGAAGTCGTAACTCAGCTAGTCAGTACAATATCGCTTTGACTGAGCAGTCAAGGTGGAGCCTCAACACTGAAGTTGGTCTCTCAGTCTGAAGGCCCTTGTCTCTACTGCTAAGCCAATGGTTCTCAACCTGTGGGTGCCCAGGTGTTTTGGTCTTCAACTCCCATAAATCCTAACAGCTGGTAAACTGACTGGGATTTCTGAGAGTTGTAGGCCAAAACTTTTGGGGATGCACAGGTTGAGAACCACTGCTCTAAGCATTCTTCCAAGGAGTGACATAAGAAAAAGAAGATGAAAACTGGATTCAGGTGAAGCTGCTCGGACTGTTTTGACAAAATTGGTACCAAAGGACAAAGCAACGGTACCAATTTCTATGACTCAACTTGTGATAGACTGCTTCAAGTCGTTTAAGCAGCTACATAATTTAAAGTTAAAATAGTTGAATGTCCTTCTGCAGAATTCCACCAGTCTTCTGTGTTGGTTTCATCAGTTCATGGTGTCCCTTATATAAAATGGCAAAATCAAGTGTTGCTTTTTAGTGTTCCTTGGTTTCATGACTTCCACCATGGCAGTAATGCTGCACTTGAGGCTCAGTATGTGCTATCTCCCTTCATGGTTCCTCACCTGCTTCTGTCTGCTTCTCAAACCTCCTTGACTATGTCTCGCCAGACTGAAGAATATTCCTTGGTCTCTGGAGTTGTGGTTCAATCCAAGCAGTGTGAAAGCAGGCATGCAGTTCCTCCCTCCTCAGCCCACAGTGTTGGTCGACATGGACACTTCAGTGGAAGGGTGGGGAGCAAGTGTGGAGAGACTGCCTGTGAGGGGGTGCTGGATGTCTGAGGAGAGCATTCTCCACATCAATGCTCTTGAAATATTGGCTCCAAAAAGGTGTTTTGAACTTTCAAACTTATCCTGAGAGGCAAGATTATTCATTTAATCTCCCAACACCACAGTGGTCTACTGCCTGAAGAAGCAGAATAGGGTGAAATTGTGGAGCCTGCTCACCACACACTCCCATCTTTGTGGAATTGGTGTACAGACAGAGAAATCTCCATCTCAACAATCCATTTTGTGGAAAAAGAGGTTGTACCAGAAGATACTCTTAACTCCCAGTCCTGGTTCTCTCTATTCCTTGATCTCAGGAACCTCTGTATTGCACTAAAATTCCCTTAAATAAATCATTACTTGGTGTGGTCACTTGATTTCATTTTTATAGTGTATCTCTCTCTAGATGTTTTGTTGGTAATTAAACACGTCAGTGATCTGTATAATCATTCAAAGTATGGATAACAGAAGTGTGGGGCAAGGAAGTAGTAATGAATATATCTTAACAACTGCAGCACTTTTCATGAAGGAAACATAGTTTCCTTTCGTTGTCTCCAGTATTAATTGCTCCTTCCTGTGAACTCTGTGGATAGTGTAAGATTGGAGATAACAAAAAAGGAACACAATGGTTACTGGAAAAATGTGAATCTTGGATGGAATATTAAAGCAAAACCATGAGTGATTTCTTTCCTCCAGATCCAAAACAGCTTTTGCAGTGGTTAGAGGGTTTGTTGTTTTCTAATCTTCTTTATAATGCAAAGGAATTGAAATAGCAATAAACAGTATTTCAGACTTGGGACTCAGAATAAAGAACAACAACTTTGACCATCAGCTCTTGTTCACCATCTACTGGTAATAAGGAAGTAGTAAGGAGGCTTATCAGTGTATCTATCCTATATAAAAACTGCATCTTTGTAAATAAACCAGCCTGGGTTCTGCGGTGGGTTCTGTCCCGTGCCCCCCCCCCCCCGTCACAAGTATGGCTGCAGCCGACGAGAAAGGGGGGCTTCTCTGTGATCGGCTCCCCCTCTGGAATTGCCTCCCTAAGGAATTAAAAACGGCCCCTTCCCTCCTCTCCTTTGAAAAACTACTCAAAAAATATCTTTGTTCTCTAGCCTATGGAGAGGAGGAGGATTAGTAATGTTGATTAGAACACAGCACCTTGCCCTGGCAAATAAATTATATAGATGTTTTATTTTCGAGGTTATTTATTTATTTTGTATTGTTTTATGGCATTGAGTGTTTGTCATCATTTGCTGGAAACTGCCCTGAATCCCCTTGAGGAGATAGGGCAGGTTACAAATAAAGTTTATTACTATCTGGCAATAGCTTTTTGGATATATTTTTGGATTCAAACTGAGACTGACATTTGAATATAATTTAAGCATTCTGACATTTTAAAAACACACAGTGTTAATGATCAGAATACTGGATTTCTGGCATAGTTCAAAATGTTATGGTGCTGTTTGTAAATTACTAGCACTCACACTATTGCTGCTGCTGCTATTTTTATTAAGTTATATCCTGCTTTTGTTCTCTACAAAAGAGAAGTGACTTACAGTAAAACCAATGCAATATAATTTAAAACCTAAAAATATATAAACATTAAAACAGAATTGAATAGTACCAGTATTAAAAAATAAACTGCTAAAACCCTTAAAACCGATTAAAAGCCTATTCATAACTAAAACCATAGCACTCCCTATTGCTTAATTATAATAGGAACTGAATTAAATTAAAAGTAAAATGTTTGATATTTTCTAATTTAACGTCTCCTTAAAAGTGATGTAATTGGCCTTTATGTTTTAGGTCGGAACTGTGGTTGAAGTTAGGAATCCGGATGGAACTTATCAAGAGGCTGTCATCAACAAATTAACAGATGCAAGCTGGTACACTGTAGGTAAGGAGAAAAAAACCTCATATTTTTCTTTTGTCTAAACATGACAAGCTGTTAAAATGTCTTTTTCTCCCATAACAATAGTGAAATAAGTGTAATGCTGTTACATTTACTGAGCGCTTTTATGGTTCCAAAATATTACCTTAATGGAATCTTATGTTTAACAGTTTAAGAATATTCTTGTGCTAAAGCTGTGTCACAGTGTACAGAAAGAGACAGTAGGCATGGTGATGGTAATGTGAAGGAATAATAAAAAATGACAACGAAAGAATTTATGAAAAACAAAAAGAAAGAGGGAAGGCTATAGAAAAGGTTACGGCTAGAGTTAGAATAATTTGGGATATTATGCTAGTGTAAAAAATATTTGTACAAGGATTGTGTTTTCTCAGCAATTGCATAAACAAGGTGCAGCCAATACTTTTGCAGGCAAACATATAGTCCCTCTCTCACTTTTTAACTTATGGATGGGGATCTAATTTATGATTATTACCCAAGGAGTGAGCTCAAGGACTTGGTAACAATTGTGCAGTTAATTGCACAATTATGCAATCAAGTATATGAACAGTGATAGTTATGCTAAAATGTGTAGGATTTTGGCGTTGCTCTGCTTCACTAAGCCTGAAAAAAGTTTGCTTTCATAATTCAGCTAGTTGTAATTTTTATTTCTTTAACACAATAAACATTTGGCAAATCTTAAAAAGCCAAATAGCATTAATCTAATAGAAATGTATCTCGATATTTAAAATGATAATTTTATTCTAATTTGTACAAGTTAAAATGTAACTTACATGTAATTTGTGGCATTTTCTATAGACTAGAAGTACATTTAGAAGTTTGCACTTGTACACCAACATTTCTCTGATTTTTGACTTGTTACCTTTTTACTTTATGATGTGCTGAAGGTTGCTTTTTCAGGTTCTCTCTTCATTAATAGGGGTGTTCTGCCAACCAGGCTATGAATTGAATTTGTACATGTGACTTCCGTATTCCCCAATCTTGTTTGGCACTTGTGGCGCAGAGCCCATCTCAGACCATGAAAAAAACTCTGCTTATGAGGGCAACTAGTGCACTACCGCAACTGCTGCCATTCAGCATCTTCTTTTATGGGTTCCCGAGGGCCCTTCCAGACAGGCCCTATATCCTAGGATCTAATCCCAGGTTTTCTGTTTATTCCCGATTATCTGGCAGTTCTGACTCATATAATCCAGTTTAAAACAAAAAACCTGGGATCAGATCCTGGGATATAGGGCCTGTCTGGAAGGGCCTTGTGAGGCAGAAAGGTGCCACTGTTTTCAACATTTTCTGCTGTGCCATTTTCCATCCTCTTCTGCCTCTTCCCTGGCCATCCTGTCCTTCTCTGCCTTATTATGCTCTGCAGAATTTTGTGCCCCTTGCCTGTAGTGGACAACTCCCAGCACACATTTTCTCTACATTTCCTTTCTGCAACTCTAGCTAAGGATGAACCACCTTATGTGGCATTCAGAAGGATGACCCACCCCCCACCCCCTTCTTGAATATGCCATTGCTTCCTCATTACATGTAGGAGACAGACTTGAAGATCTCAGATTCTGTGCAGGTTGATGTGAGGGTCTATAGTCCTTTAAACGTGGCTAAGCATTTATTTAGAATTCTACTTTTGTCATTGGCTATATTAGTAACCAACTATGTGAGGTCTTCAAAATTCTGTTCCCACTATATAATCATTCAATTTCTGCTAATGAAAAAAGTTTGTTTTAAAGTGAAAGGGTATACCTTTAAATGTTCATACTGTTTTTGTACATTGTGCTTAATAAAAAGGTGATCCATCCCCAGCTGCATTTAAGAATGGCGTAGTGTTATACAGCTGTTGGTTTCACATAGCATAATGCTAGAATTTAAATGGATGCAGAACTTACTTCAGCAGCACATATACTAAAATAGATGAATGCATTGAATGGCCTTTAAATGCATTTGGTCTTGATATTCATACACATTTGGCATATACTCATTTAAGAAATGGTTAATTCTTATTGAAATGATTGAGACAAGACACATTTATCTCTATATGCAGTGTAAAATTTTAGTGATAAGTGTTTTGGCAACGAGAAGGGGATAAATTCTGATAACACAGTGGTTTACATTTGTGCTTGCATTTTGGTTACAGTATTTGATGATGGAGATGAGAAGACTCTGAGACGCTCTTCACTTTGCCTGAAAGGAGAGAGACATTTTGCTGAGAGTGAAGTAAGTATCTGTAATTAAATGTAAAATGTATTTTGTTTGTAGATCTCTGCTTTTCTAGATTTTGTTTGATTTTAATGTTGACACTTGGCACATTGTCAGTAAATTAAACACATGTTTAATAGAATAAAAATATAGACAATTGTAACTATTCTCTTCCAAAAAGAATGAGTCCCCTCAGGGAAATAGGGTGGGACAGAAATAAAGTATTATTATTATTATTATTATTATTATTATTATTATTATTATTATTATTATTATTATAACAAATCAGTAATTTTGCTAAAGGTAACTTTGCTGTTCAAGTCATATAGTGATATGTCTGTGACTTGAGCCAAAAGACAATTTACAACATTTTACAGGCAGTCCCCAAGTTACGAATAAGATAAGTTCTGTAGGTTTGTTCTTAAATTAAATTCGTATGTAAGTCAGAACAAGTGTATTTTTAAAGTGGAACTCCATCCAAAAATATATCTTTTTTTGCTTTGGATAGCATAGGGAAGGGTTAACACCTCAGAAGATTTCACCTCACTTACTGTTCCTGGGATAATTGGATTTTGAAAAATTTGGCTTGTTATGGAAACAAGGATTGGTGAGAAAGCTTCAGTTGAAACACCTTTTCCCATTATAATTCTCTCAGGAGTGAATTCTACTTCCTAGGGGTAGATTTCTCTCACTTCCTGTTATTTCACCCCCGTTCTTAACTGTGAGTTGTTTCTAAGTCCTATGTTTATAACTCAGAGAGTATCATTTGTGAAATGCATATTTTAATCAATATTTTACTAAATTTGTTTTATTTAGTAGCAATAGAAATCTGTTTTTAAATTATAGGGTCACTCTTATGCGAATCCAACTAAAACAATAAACTGGTTGCAGCTAAGTCATGCGGCACTATATCTAGCAGATTGGAATAATCAGCAATGAATAGAATTGATTGATTTGCTGTGAAAAGGATATGATATTGACTTATATTTCAGTTGAGGCCAATGTATGGTTTAATTCTTGAGACTGAATCTCCCTGCATTTTGTTGTCTTTGTAACTTTTAACAGAATAATAACTCTTACTCCAAAAAAGTGTATTAATTTTCAGCTGAGTATTAATACCTCATGTTGCTATATCTTCACAAAAACAGAATATGTAAACAACTGAGAACTGAAATCGTTGTGTTAGAATAAAATTCAGTACATACCTATTCAGATATAAATCCCTCTGGTATAGAATTTTAGCCTTACTCTGATCTCACATGCAAACTCCATGAAATTTATGTCATGCTTTCCTTTCACATTGTGTCTGGGACTTCTGCCCTGCTTACTTTAAAGAGGGAGAGATCTAGCTTCCATGTGCCATACCGAGAAGCTATTAATTTGCAGCTTCTCCAAGATGGATTCCTCGCTATTCTTCTACTGCACTCCTGCAAATCTGGGCATATCTTGCTTTCTTATTAATTCCATTTGATTATTCTTAGTGCTACTGCTGGGAGCAGCTGCTGTGTCATTGAAAACAGCACATCCTGGTTTTAAAGAAGTAGTGAAATGGAGTGGGGCAGGAGCAGGAAGCGGGAATAGCTCTGGTTTCACATTTGTTTCCAAGCTGTTGTCAAGAGATTTTGGAGAACAGAGAGTTGAACTTGTAAATGGGCCATGCTTGGGAAAGTACTCCCATAATTTCCAGTGCACTGGCAAGCTGCCTAAAAATTCAGATGTTCCACTCAGATGAAAATGGAAAGTGTGAGGTGGGAGTGGGTGGTGAGGGAGGAATCAAGCAACATCTTTGAGACCCATGGATTTGCTTTACGAAGAGTGTTCATGGATATCAGGCCATTACTTCAGTTGCACTTATTATTGCTTCGGAAGAAGTAGGATTGATGGTCATGAAACCTCATGCTAAGATAAAACACTCCCAAGGAGGCTTGATTTTTGCATCCCTGCCCCCATTTCTATATTATACTGCAACATATTAACATGACTATAACTTTGAAAGCTACTCGGATAAACAGTTATTCTGGGGGGAAAAATTCATGAAGTCCATAGTGCAAAGAGTACTGGCAGCAGAGAAATACATTGGGCTTGCAATCATATGCTCAATGCCTATAAACTCAGTAGGACTTAGTTCTGAGTAGATTACAGAATCTCGCTGTACATGTTGAAGTGCTGTTCCTTGACCTATATAAACTAAGGTGGGTTGCACTCTCAATTTATTTTCATTTTTCTTGGCTAGTAGCTACGCATTTTATATTTTGCTTCTCAGTTTCACAGGCTCACTTTTTAAATGCTAATACATGTAATGCTTTTTCATCAACAGACATTAGATCAGCTCCCCCTTACCAACCCTGAGCATTTTGGTACGCCTGTAATAGGAAAGAAAACAAACAGAGGGAGGAGATCTAATCATATGTAAGTTTTAACTTCCTCTCATTTTTATTATCTTAATTTTTAGCAGAGTGTTTAAAGATGGTTTTTAAAATTTGTTTCATTTATTGTAACTTTCCTTTTTTAGACCAGAAGAAGAATCTTCTTCATCTTCGAGTGATGAAGATGAAGATGATAGAAAACAAACTGATGAACTGTTAGGAAAAGTGGTATGCGTTGACTGTGTTAGTGTTGATAAAAAGAAAAATCTCTGGTTCCCAGCTTTGGTAAGTGTCTTTGATACTGCTTAAAGGATTTTTGAAGTTATCAATATAGGACCAAGGCAAAAGCTATGGCATTTTTCCTGTGCTAAGCAACAAAACATAGCATATGGGTGGCAATGCCATGTACAGAGGTATAGTACCTCTAAATATCATGCTGGTTGATAAACATCTTTGTGTCTGCTAGCCATGGTTAGAAAGAGCCCTTGTTCCATTGTATTAGAGTTCTTATATTCTTAGCTGTTACATAGAAGCAAGAGAGAATGTAACAGGTTGAGGATGGAGGGTGTTAAATCAGTGTGTTGTATATTCCAAAAGCTAGGAAGAAGAAACAGTGTGAAGAGAAAGAATTGAGGTGATGAAACAAAAACTAAGCAGAGCTTATTCCCTACATTTGTCTGCGCAAACTTAATAATTATGATTGATGCTTCATAGTCAAGCAGTGACGGAAAATTGAAAATTTAAAACCATTAGATATACAGTTTCATATTCAATTTTTAAAATGTATTTGAATCCTAGACATATGGAAAGTATGAAAAATTACTTGAATATGTATTGGAAGTAGGTTTCACAAAGTTCAGACTTCCTGTGTTCTGCATGTGGCATAATATGGATTGAGGCCAGACTATCTGAAATGAGTCTGCCAAAATGTAAGATCTTCAGTGAAGGTCCTGACAGATTGAGGCGGCGAGTTTATGAGGCAGCACTTCCTCTGTTATATTGAAACTCTTTGCAGGGGCATCTATTCAGTTTTGGGTAGAGAATCAAAACATTATTCTAAAATATCTTTGGTCTTTAAAACTGTTTCCAAAGTTGACTTTTTTAAAAAATCTTGTTTTTAAGAATTTTCTTTATTTTATTGTATGTTGCTTTAGGAGGGTTTAATAGGCAGAAAAGTGATCAATAAATAATAGAAAAAAATCTTCAACTGGGCTAGATCTTCAACTGGGCCAACTTCCGGATGATTGGAAGTTGGCTTAAGCAAATTGGGATCTAGGAGACAAAGCACTAACTAGTCATTCTTTCTGGTCACCACTGACTGCTCCACTATCTGAGTCTTCCAGGAAACAGTTAAGATTAGTGTCCCATACTGAGCTTTGGAAAAACAGAAACAGAAAGAGGTTTCTACCTTCTCGCACTTTTTTACAAGGCATTGAGGCAGGGAAATCAGTGTCAAAGAATGCCACTTTTTCTTTTTCACTTGAAGCCTAGTGTAAATTGAGATGAGAGTCCTTGCCAAGACCTTTTGTGTATGGACATATATGAATAGGATGTTTTATGTCACTTAACACAGGCCTTCTAATAAGATGGGAGTGGTGTGAATCCCATCATTCTGGCTCCTTTTTTTGCGAAATGAGATACCAGTTTTCTGTCAGAAGAGTCAGTGAGAAGTGGAGCTCTGTTTTTCATGTATATCTAAGACCCTTTCTCACAAGTTCTGTAGTTAGTTCTGTGCCTGGCACCTGTGATGGGGCTAACCCAATTTGTAGACTCTAATGTATAATAAAATGTGATATCTTCAACATAAATATTTCCTTCCATTATGAAATAGTTTAAATATTCTCCTTGTTTTTGTCCAGGTGGTTTGTCCAGACTGCAGTGATGAAATTGCAGTAAAGAAGGACAATGTTCTTGTGCGTTCTTTCAAAGATGGAAAATTGTGAGTGGAAATTTTCTAGGTGATATTTCTCTGACTTGTAAAAAATTGTCGGTGTGGTGAACAGATTTGACTGCTGTTATCTCAGATATGGCTAATAAATTGCTTATTTATCCTGCTGTACACTTTCCCTCTAATCATGTCAAAATGGCACAGAATCGCTAGAGTATATGTGAAGAAGCAATTTTGTGATGCTCCTTTGAATGAATGGATAACCTATGGTGTAAGACTGTTTTATGCTTGAAAGCTAAAGGGAGTTTGCTTTTACACTAATAAAAACAGTTTGATATAATTATGTTTTGATAGCCAACAATTTCAGGTATTCTCAAAATGGTCATATCAGTGGGCCATTTCCTCTGAGTTAATGTAACGTTTTTTCACTTGAGTCTTTCATTAATTTTTGTGTGCACAATTCTCCTAGTATAGCTAGCAGGTCCGTTTCTAGAATAGTTAAGTTATCCCACTAGGGCCAGAAAGGAATTGTGGAAGAACTATTTCCTGAGATGCAAATGAGACCCATCAATCTCCAGTCTGACTTCCTGCCTGATACAGGGGAGCTGCATGCTTTGATTTGCTTCCTCTTCCCCCAAAAGACAGGGGGAGTGACAAAAAGTCTGTTTTAAAACTCGTAGCTCGAGGGACAGTAAAAGAACATCCTGTTTTCTTTAATTCATCACTCCCCTTACATCAAGTAGGTGGGGAAAAGGCCAAATAAACCTTAGGCCACACTATGATCCTGTACCTCATACAATTCCCCATATTTTCTCTTGCCATCTCTCAGTGTGGATTATCGTTTGGAGAGGCACAGCATGCAGTTCAACAGAAAGCAGTAGTGGAGTAGGAGCGAGCCAGGTGTTCTTCATCAGCTTCTCTCCCCTTGATGGCCCTGTTGCAGTTGCCCAGTGTCCTTCACCTTGCTTTATCACCAAACCAGTGGTTAGCACTGCCTTGCTTCTGAGAGATGCAAATCTTAGCTGGGAGAGACACCTGACATTAATTAGCCAGTCAGCTCCTGGTTGTTTTCCAGAAGCACAGCAAACAATTCATTGTAGAGCAGCAATGTTTAGGCTGGTATGGGCAGGTGTTTTTAATTGGCATTCCTCTATTGCATTCACCCATCCATAGTCTTGCTTTATGTTGCCATTGTAGTTGAAACACCTACAGTTACCTCCAGATCCTCGGAGCCTAGGTTTTTGACTTTCCCTTCTCCTTTTAAAGAGGGTGTTTTACTCCATCCCCTGCAAGCCTTGAGGCTGACGTCAAAGAAAGAAAGGAAAGGATGAACGGCTTTTGTATTTTGAAGAAATGTTATTCTCTATAATCTGAAAATAGTTTATCAGATCATATATTTTCTAAAGCAGATTCTCTTGTGGTCTTTATAACTTCTAAAGCTATTTTATCCACTGAGTCAGATGAGGTATCAGAATGAGCAGAGCACTCAATGTGCTTTGTGGAGAGGATTGGAGATGTCAGTAGTATTGACTTATCAGGCCTGCTCTTCTGTGTTGATTTTTTATAGAAGTACTTTCATGTGAGCTAGTAAGCTGGCTTGTATTTCTGAACTGTTTTCAATAGACTTCTCTGATCACTACTTTCTTGTTAGATGCAACCCAAGATGCAAATGCAACCTGCTTCTTTAACCTTCAATATATTATGCAGAAGAAGCAGGTGTAGTCCCTTCACTGGAGGGTGAACTTTCAAAAGCAAACTTTTTTGTTTTAAATAAACAAAGCTCTTGGAGGGCTGCTTAATACTGTCTATGTTCAAAATCTCCTCAGTAATTCTACTCTTGAAGAGGATTTTTTTTATTCTTTGCAGATCTCATGAAAGTATAAATATTCACATCTCAAATTTTCTATGTCCTTATTGTTTTCTGAAATTTTGTTCTGACAATGATCAGTTTCATGTCCTTTGGGATCTCCTTCAAATGCAGAAATATTCTTGGTGATCCTGAGAGCTGTAATTGCCCAGCGCTGCTTCCTAGCGGTGAATATTTCCCCTTGCTTACAACACAGCCTCCTAATTTGTTTTCTTCCTTCACAACCATGCAATGTCAGTCTTTCTCCATTGGTATATGATAAATTAAGAAAGCCAAGAACTCCAATAATTATAGCGAGTGTGGGATCAGAGAAGTAGTTTTAGTGCAAGCCCCAAAGTTGTAGCAATTTCTGGGTACCCATCTGAAGAACTTCTCATGGCAGGGTAGTTGGGTACCTCTCTGTACTAGTTCAGACCTCCTGGGGAGACAGCATAGGTCTTCGGTGTTCCTCAGAATGCCCTTTGAGAATGAATGTTCATTCAGCATTTTCTATATTTCCTCAATTTTGGAGGGCAGCATTTGAAGTTGCACACTCTCTCCCACAAGACTTTGGTTCACCCCTTGTTGTTCACTAGTGATCTTCAGCTGTCAAGAAATTACTCTTATTCACAAACTGGACCCAACTCCCTTAGGAATGTCTTCTTAAGCAGCCAAAAAAGTTTGGAAAGAATTTGATTGACTCATTTTGATTCATAGCTTGGTGTATTCCATTTCTAAAGTTGACAATGGCCTGAAAGTTTAAGACTAATAGGAATAAATCTTGTTGGACTGAATAGGACTTAGAATCATAGAACTGGAAGAGACTGCAGGGCCATCTAGTTCAATTTCCTGCCATGCAGGGATAGCACAATCAAAGCACTGCCGACAGATGTTCAGACTTAATTCTGAACAGATGTGCATAACATTGTGCTTTTAGACGGATAGCTAATGACCTCTGTTATCAGTAGCTTCTACTTACAGTGAATTTGGATTAAGTCTGTTCTGGAATTAAACCTGTCCTGAAAGTGAATGCAGGATGTAAGGTGGTGAATTAATTATGCTACATTGAGGACTCCAGCCTTAATGGAAATCGGTTGTGTGTGTGTGAACGTGAGCAGTTTTTATGTCAATATCACCATAATGCTTCTTGCTAAATAAACATTATGAAACTAACAAGATCCATGTTGATGAGAACAGGGTTGCCCCCAGGATTATATATTCCTTTTCTCCTTATATTGAATTTTTCATGTGAAATCATTAATAACAGAAGTGACCATTATTTAAAATAAACAGATATTCAAAATACAGTTGTTTTTGTTCTGCTTGCATATATGCGTTTTTAAAGCATTTTTTAAAAAACTATTTCTTTAGCTCTTCAGTACCAAGGAAAGATGTTCGAGAAATTACAGATTCTTCACCAAAACCTGATGCTACATTAAAACAAGGTAAGAGTAATCTTGAACTTTAAAATGGGGGTGCTTTCCAGGTTACAAGTTAGTGGTATATACTTCAAAGGGCAGAATGGCCTACTACATTCTTCCCACGTTCTACCAATGAGCAAACCTGGAACTTTGGGATACAACTCTCTCAGTCCACTGGTTGACATGTAACAAATAATGCCTATGTACTATTGGAGCAAAGAAAACTATATCATACCAAATACCATTGTCTCTTTAGATCACTCCTGTTAATGTCACTAGAAGCTCCTCTTCAAGGGTTGAAGCAGGAGTTTTCCAGTCCTATCTGGAAATACTAAATTGAATTTGGAATCTTCTGCATACAAAATTGGTGTTTTTCCATTTATCTGTTTTTCACGTTCATTCAGTTCAACTCACCCAAGGTACAAGGTAAAGCAACAGAAAAAGCCCCAAACTTCCCAAATCAAATATATTATTAAACTCAGCATGTTTTCCAAAAAATGGTATCTACAGTTGCTGTATAAGCAAGTAGAGATGAGTCTTGAAAGCCCTTTTTGCATGCCAGCACACTGACCGATCTAAAACAAACCCCAAGCCAATCAGCTAGAGGAAAAGTGAATTAAAAGCCAGTTTTTAAAGCTTAAAAAGGTTTTATGAACAGCGGCGAGTAGTATAACTGGAATTCTCATCTATAAAACCTACCTAAAATAGCAGTTTTGGGATGACATTTGAAAGCTATCAAAAGTTCTAAAGCTTAGCAATCAGGGAAATCTTTACAAGATTCTTAGATCTCTTTAGCACTTTGTAAATCAAATCCAGCATGTCAAATTGTGCTCAGAATACACTGATGATTTGTAAAGCTTTTAAAATAGCGGTAAAATATGTTTCCTGCTATTCTGAACTAAGTGAAGTTATCAAATTACAGCCCCATGTATATCACAATGTAGAAATCCAGTCTGAATGTTATTAGGACATGGATAATTATGACTGAATACTGATTCTTCAGAAAGAGCTGCAGGTTTCAGTTTGACTCATGTTACTTAGTTTTGCATCAAAGATTTAGAAGTACCCATCTGTAAAAGATCAGGCACTTCTCCCAAATGTATCCCTCACCTTGAAAAACAGGCAAGTGCTTTGCAGGTCAACCCCAGGAGATGTTAGCTGAAGATAGAGATCAAAGCTAATTTTTGTGCTCATGACACTGTAGCTGACATTATTAGCATGAAATATAACGAGAAGTAAACTATGGATGCATTTGATTTTGGTGATTAAAAATCATTGTATGTTATATGATTATAGTGATTAATGGTTCTGCTATGGGCTCTTTGGAAATGTAGCACTGATATACTTGCAAACCTTTTAACAATACCAAAACCATAACTGACTGTGCATAGTATGGTACTCCACAACAAATGTCATATTTGCCTCCTAGGATAAGAGAAGTCCCACAGTCAGATAAATACAGGCTCTGTCTTTTACCATGAAAAGGCATGATTCCTCTATAACAACAACAACAACTTTATTCGTATATCTCGACAACATCTCCCCAAAGGGACTCGGGACGGCTTACACTAGGCACAAAGTCCCTAAATCAAGACATGACATAAAACACAATATAAAATACATTTGAATTAAACATGAGCATGTAACAATAACATAAAACTCAGAATAAAACAGCACACATCCATCAGTGGCGATAGCTAATGTAAACATGGCCAGGCTGTAAACAATACCTATTAGTCACTACATTGAATCCCAGAAGCTAAATAATGTCTTGCTGCTTGCCACTCTTTCTTTTGTATTTTTATCATCTAACTATTTAATTAGTCCTTTTAATGGTAGAATAAATTTGATGTTGGCCACATTGGGGCAATAAAAGCCTGCTTTTTTATTCCTCACCTTGCTATTCTCTTGGCAAATGTGATGTTCCTGGCCAGTGAACACCCAGAAGACAGCTTTAAATAGTGGCTTCATATCCTGTCTTGTCTAGAAGTCTTTAATGATCATTTCCCAGTTTGCTGTGACTTCCTGGCATTTTCACCTATGTCAAAGGAAGGTTTGCCTGTACATGCACTAAATCTCTGGATTCACAGGATGAAAGTGTACTGATTAATTTTAATCTTATTTGCAGCTTTTGATCAAGCCTTAGAATTCTGTAAAACCAAAACTGTTCCTAGTAATTGGAAGACTGAATTGAAAGAAGAAAGCTCCAGTAGTGAAGCGGAAGAGGAGGAAGAAGATGAAAAAGAAAAAGAGGATAGCAGTGAAGAAGAGGCAAGTCTAGCATGGCAGCCCAGTTGGGTCCATTTTAGGACCATATATTGACTGTTGAGTTACAGTGGTGAAGCAAACAGTCTAAGACTGGAATCACTAGGTTCTTGTGGGTTTTTTCGGGCTATAGAGCCATGTTCTAGAGGCATTTCTCCTGACGTTTCGCCTGCATCTATGGCAAGCATCCTCAGAGGTTGTGAGGTCTGTTGGAAGTAGGAAAATGGGTTTATCTATCTGTGGAATGGCTGGGGTGGGGCAAGGAGCTCTTCCCTGCTGCAGTTAGGTGTGAATGTTTAGCTGATCACCTTCATTAGCATTTGAAGGCCTGCCTGAGCCTGGGAAAATCTGTTGCTGGGAGGTGTTAATCTGTGCCTGGTCTTTTCCTCTCTGTTGTTTAGCTGTTATAATTTTAGAGTTTTTTAATACTGGTAGCCAGATTTTGTTCATTTTCATGGTCTCTTCCTTTCTGTTGAAATTGTCCACAGGCTTGTGGATTTCAATGGCTTCTCTGTGTAGTCTGACATGGTGGTTGTTGGTGTGGTCCAGCATTTCTGTGTTCTCAAATAATATGCTGTGTCCAGGCTGGTTCATCAGGTGCTCTGCTATGGCTGACTTCTCTGGTTGAAGTAGTCTGCAGTGCCTTTCATGTTCCTTGATGCGTGTCTGGGCGCTGCGTTTGGTGGTCCCTATATAGACTTGTCCACAGCTGCATGGTATACGGTAGACTCCTGCAGAGGTGAGAGGATCCCTCTTGTCCTTTGCTGAACGTAGCATTTGTTGGATTTTCTTGGTGGGTTTGTAGATTGTTTGTATGTTGTGTTTCCTCATCAGCTTCCCTATGCGATCAGTGGTTCCCTTGATGTATGGCAGGAACACTTTTCCTCTGGGTGGATCTTCATCTTTACTCTCGTGGCTTGTTCTTGGTCTTGCAGCTCTTCTGATGTCTGAGGTGGAGTATCCATTGGCCTGGAGAGCCAAGTTGAGGTGGTTCAGTTCATCTTGGAGGAGGTGGGGTTCGCAGATTCTTTTTGCACGGTCTGCCAAGGCTTTAATGGTGCTTCTTTTTTGACTTGGGTGATGGTTGGAGTTTTTATGTAGATATCTATCTGTGTGTGTGGGTTTTTTGTAGACGGTGTGACCCAATTGTTGACCTAACTGCAGCAGGGAAGAGCTCCTTGCCCCACCCCAGCCACTCCACAGATATATAAACCCATTGTCCTAATTCCAACAGACCTCACAACCTCTGAGGATGCTTGCCATAGATGCAGGCGAAACATCAGGAGAAATGCCTCTAGAACATGGCTCTATAGCCCGAAAAAACCCACAAGAACCTAGTCTAAGACTGTTTCTATTTTGAGTCGAAGCGTCCACATTCCCAAGACTTAGAAGCTTCTTAGATTCCCCAGTGCATCTTGATGTTCTCTGTGTCTGTATTTTCCTGTTATACCCTTTTCTTTCTCATTGGCCTTTCCCTCTATCCCAGTTTTCAGCCTTTCCATCTGCTCACTGTCTCCCTGCTGGCTCTGCAAGGAAGTATAATGAACCTCTTTGGCTTTATCAGTCTATCAAGAGCAGAAATAAACCAACAAATAAATGAACAAATAAAAAACTGGAGCAAACAGCAACATAAGTGAAACAAAGAAAAATATTTCGTCTCCTCCTTTTCTTCAAGTTGTAAAGTATTCCTTACTTTTAAAAAGAGCAGAAAAGTACACTAACTTCAAGAATTGCAGTGATCTGATACCATAGAGTTTACAAATTCTTGAAATAATTTTAAGAGTAAATATATATGCCTTGTTTTAAAACATTTATTATTATAAGATTATTATTTTTTTTGCTAAATGTTTTTCTAGGAAAGAAAGACTTGGAGGGAAGGGTGTGGGGAGAGGTTTACTGCCTTTTCCCATTTTTTTCCCCTCCAGATTATGGATCCTTGCCATGTTGCAAGCTCCACATTTAGCTCAGCTTTAGGTGTCTGATAGATGATCATTCTAATATATTGTAAAGTCGTGCTTGTGTCAATGGTGGCAAGCAAAGTATTTCCAAACCATTGCTACCCCCCCCCCCCCCCCACAATCAAATGTTACACTTGACATAAGACTTTTTTTTTCAAATTCTGGGTTTTGGCTTATTTGCCAAATATAATATTTCTCAGTGAGGCCCAAAAGTTCTACTTTTGATTCAGCTGTGCAGAGAATACTGTTCCACAAATTTCGGAAATATGTATATGATACCAAACAACAGAAGAACAGCAACATTCTTTTTAGAGAGCAGTGTTTTTTTCCCAGCTGCCATCCCATTAGCGTCATTCTTGTTCAATCTTTACTTGATCTTTGACTCATGAATAAGCCATTAACCAAGGCAAGAGTGCCTCCAGATTCTTGAATGTTACTTTGGCATTCCTGGCGATGTACTGTTGGTTCTTGGACATATGACAATTCCTGGGTAGAGTGACCTCTGTTGAACCTTCTCCGTGTATATGCTCTGTCTGTCTGAAAGTGATTAGTGGACCCTCAGATCCTTAGAAATAGATTTGTAACCTATAGTGAAATAATGAGTAGCAACAATTGCTTTTCTAAAGACCTCAGAAATGTTTTTGAAATGATATGAATACAGTTTGTATGGTGAGGATCAAACTAACATTTTCTAATCCTCCCAACCTCACTCCTGTAAACCAACCTAATTACTTTAAATAATTGATTCTAGATATTCCCTATAAGCTCATGTAACTAAGGGTTTGTTAACTTCTTTTACACCTATAGTGATTTTATACATACTCATTGTTTGCTTAGTTTTATACATTGTTTGATGTCTCATTATGCAGAATTGTTTAAAATAAGCTACTGGTTGTTTTTAAAGGAATATTATGATTTTATCATAGTATCACTGTAAAATGTTCACAAACATTTTCTTGCCATTATATTTGTGAACTCTTAATTACTCGATAAGGTCAACTTTATGTTTGCCACACAGAAATTGTGTGTTTAGTGGGAATGTCCACAGAAAAATAATTGCCACTGGAATTTTTTGGACTCTTGAGGAACAACCACATGTACTCTTTGTCCTCAAATCTGTTTTAAATTTAGAAATGAATTAAACTATGGTAGACATAGCCCTCACTGACCAAATTTAAGGGAGAAAAATGTAAGCCATATTATATTTTGTTTATTTAAAAAAATGCCTTTGTTGACATATTGTTTGGGTCTGAGCCTTAGTATAGCAACAGAAGCAAAACTAAAATGAGTGGAACAATCACATAGTGCTCTTCTAAAAATTCATCACTCTGGTCTGTCAACTGCTGACCTGCTTCAAAAAGCCCCCACTTTAATATTATTTTACTGCTGCCATAAATTGCTTCTGCATATTCTGTTTGTTGTGGTGGTAATGCATACTTTACAGCAGTTGCTTCTTTTCTAAATTTTAATATCATTTGTTTGAAAAAATTAAAGAGGGCAGTGTGTGAGTGTGTGTGTGTGGGGGGGGGGCAGGCGGGGGAGGGGCAGAACTCCAAAATGGTGCCGAAGTATATGAGAAAATATAATTGTGAAAAAATGTTAATCCCCTGCTGTGTTGCATTGGACACTGGAATTAGTTCACAGCAGCATATTTTATTTTTGGAAGAAAAAATAATTCAGATAACAAGATCTCAATTAATATGTTATGTGTAATTTAGTTAAGGCTTGATTGTGGTACTTTAAGCTTGCAATACTCTACACACTTTCTTTAAAAGTGTATCCCATTGAACACAGTGGGAATTATTGTTGAGTAGATACACATTTGCAATATTGATTGAATAGGCTTATTACATTTTTATGTGTTTCTACAGCAAAATGATTATTTGTTTACATCTACAGAGACATTGCATTTCTTTTTAAAGCTTAAATTCTGAAGCATTCTTTCAATGTTACTGAGCAAGTATCATAGTTTAATGGAATACACTGATATTTTTCTCCTTATTGCATTTTATAAATTAGGAAGAAGTAGAACCCTTTCCTGAGGAAAGAGAGAACTTTCTACAGCAGCTTTATAAATTCATGGAAGACAGAGGTGAGAATGTTTATTATGTAATTTATCACAGTACAAGAATGTAATATAAATCTATCTTGCGCTCCTTTTTCTTTCTGGCAAATGAAAGTTGTTCCTTTCTTAAAATTAGCAAGTTAGGTGTAATTAATAAGACAGAAGAGTCTTCCTGGACTACAGTTTCCATCAGCCTCAGGTCAGCTTACCCAGTGGTGGGAAGTGATCAGAGTGGAAGTCTAGCAGTATCTGGAGGCCCAACCATTGTCCAGTTATAAAGTATAGAGACAGCCCACAAGTTACAGACATGATAGGTTCTGTAGGTTTGTTCTTAAGTTGAATTTGTATGTAAGTCAGAACATTTTAAAAGTGTAACTCCAGCCAAAAATTTATCTTTTAAAGCTTTGGATAGCATAAGAAAGGGTTAACACCCCTGTAGTGTTTATTTTGTTATCTGTGCCCTTGTTCAAAAGATTTCACATCACTTTCCGTCCCTGTCCCTGTGATAATTGGATTTTGAAAATTTGGCTTGTTTGGGAAACTAAGATTGGTGATCAAGCTTCAGCGGAGACACCTTTTCCCCGTGATAATTATTTCAGGAGTGAATTTCCTTCCTAGAGATGGATTTCTCTCACTTCCTGTTGTCTCATCCCTTTTCTTAACTATTAGTCATTTGTAAGTTACATGTTTGTAACTTGGGAACTACCTATAGTCATCCTGTGTATTAAACCTTATATCTCTCCTTTGGGGGAGATAAAGTGGGGAATAAATATTAATAATAATATTATAATAATAATGCAGAGCACAATAATTGTATTTAGTATATAATGGTGTATATTAATAATGGTCCTCACAATCTTTAATCCACCACAATTATAGAATGATAGAGTTGGAAGAGACCACATGGGCCATCTAGTCCAGTCCCCTACCATGTAGGAAAAGCACAGTGAAAGTACCCCTTGCAGGTGTCCATCTAGTCTCTGTTTAAAAGCTTCCAAGGAGGGACACCACACACAACACACCAAAGCAGAGCGTTCCACTGCTGAACAACCCAAATACAGAGCTCCAACTAAAGTTATGGTCCACTACATGCTTTTTTACATTGGCCTTTGTAAATCTCGGACCCAAACAAACAGCTAAACCAGGAAGTTTACCCCAGATGACTTCAATTTATGGCTTGCTGCCAGAATGGGGAGATGTTCTCAGCTTGATGGGGTATATAAAAAGCATACAAACCTAAGATAGAAATTATTACAGGGCAAATGCTATTTTATCATTCCCAAATTCTATCTCAAATACGTTCGCAGAACTAACTGCATGTTAATAATTAAAGGGCAAATTTAAATTCTTTGAAAACAAATCTGAATTCAATAAAGTCAGTTTGGTTTTATGATACACCTTCCTCTGTTTGCTTTCTTAACATTACATTAATTTTGCTCATTGAAGAACCCACACATATTTGAGAACAGCTTTTCTAAGTATTTGGAAAAAATTACCTTTTTTAAAGTGTGATTTTAGCTGTCACATGATGAATGATAAGGCTAAAATTGTAATCCCTATCCGTTCTTATCACATTGAACATGGTCAGAATTAAGTCTGAGTAAATGTGCATAAGCATATATGTGTGGGATTGGAATGCTGAATTAGTTTGAGTGCATTAATGTCAATATGAGGAGTCGGGCTTACTAAGATGCAAAGTCAAACTTCAAAATGCTTTCTTTCACAGGGACTCCTATTAATAAACGACCTGTGCTTGGATACAGAAACTTGAATCTCTTCAAATTATTCAGACTTGTTCATAAGCTTGGAGGATTTGATAATGTAAGTACTCTAAATCAGGAGATGATTTTAAAGTCTGAAGTAAAGCTGTAAAACACATATGAAAATAGATATGTAGAAGATGATGCAGATATGCCCCTTATAGAGAACACCTTTAGAGATTAGTTTTTATAGTGTTAACCATATTTTCTATGTGTGATGCAGGTTGAATAATCCCTATCTAGAATTCAAAAATTGAAAGAACTCTTGTCCATATGTGTGGCTGAAATAGTGACACCTTTTCTTTCTGATGGTTCAGTGTAAACAAACTTTGTTTCATGCACAAAATTATTTAAACTATTGTGTATAAAATAACTTTTGCGCTGCATGTATATGAAACATAAATGAATTTTGTATGTAGACTTATATCTAAGATATGTCTTTTCAAAATCTGGAACACAATCTAAAATACAGAACACTTCTGACCTAAGCATCTAGACAAGGATATTCAACCTGTTTGTTTATCAGACTGTCTCTCTCCCCGGCTCCCCCAATATCTTTATGGGTGTTAAATGAATCTAGCATAAAGAATACCCCAGTTGCTGATAGTTATTTCCAAGATATATTCTTCCCCTTTTCTTTCCTTAACATGGAAAAAAATATTGCTCTTAGAAAAAATTATAGGTAAAGCTGCTCTGAGGTAATACATGTGCTTCCTTTTCTTTTGGAGCTACCAAGTTTTGTTTTGTGATGTATGGAAATGTTAGCACCCCAATATTTATTATGTAAGAATAGCATAATAAATGTGGTTATATATACAATCCTTCCTGAGAATATCAGGCCTTGTTGGTGAGGAAAATTTAGAGCATTATCTGATACTGTGTGCAGATCCTTATTGTATATGGAGTAATTATTTGTGTTACATGGAAGTAAATTGCTAGTCACTCCATGAAAATTACCAAGCAAGTAGCTGAAAGAATTTATGTTCAATACATATTTTTTTTTTATAATAAATTTTTATTTGCAAAATTTTCTATAAATACAGTGTTTAAAAAACCAGGGGAAAAGGGAGGGAGGTGGTTTTTGGGAGGGGGGGCTAGGGGAGGGGATGGGGGGGATAGGGGATAGGTGGAGGGGGGGATGGGGTAGAGTAGGGGGAGGGTAGGGGGGGTAGAGGTGGGGGGTGTCTTCTTCCGTTACTCTTCTGTGTGGGATTTTCTGTACTTTTTTTTCCTTCCAATTCCATATTATCTCTTCGAGGTTTCTTAGAGGGATCTGTTTTTGAGTTCTTTGCTGTTGTTATGTCTTTGTTTCTTTTAAACTAGTACCTTTACTTTATTTTCTTTCATCCATGTTTTAACTGCTGACCAGTCTGTCATTCTACTTGGTTTGTTCTGTCCTTTAGCTAATAGAGATGTTAGTTTGTCCATGTTCATTGTGTCGAATAATTTCTTAATCCACTCTCCTTTGGAAGGTCTTGTTTTCTGCTTCCATACTCTTGCATAGCTCAATCGAGCTGCCGTGGTAATGTATACGAAGATTTTTTCCTCATTCACACTCCACTGGTCTGTTGTGAAGCTCAGCAGATAGTTTTCTGGTTTAAAGGGAAGGTTTTTTTTCAATACTTTCTGACACATGGTGTGGATTTCTTTCCAAAAGTCTTTTGCTGTCTTGCAGTGCCACCATGTGTGTATAAAGGTCCCCTTATGCTTTCCACATTTCCAGCATCTGTCATTTTTATTTTTGCTGAATTTCGCAATTTTGTCTGGGGTCATATGCCACTGATGAAACATCTTTATTAAGTTTTCCTTGAAGTCGAATGCATACATAAAGTTTAGTTTTCTGGTCCATAATGCCTCCCACTCCTCTATGAGGATAGATCTTTTTAGGTTTCTGGCCCATCTTATCATGCAGGTTTTTATCTGCTCTCTTTCTGTGTTCCATAGGAGTAGCTGTTGGTATATTTTTGTTATTACTTTCTTTTTACCTTCGTAGATTTTTTTCCATGATGATGTGTTTTCTTCAAAACCTAAGTTGGAGTCTTTTTTGAAGTGCTCTTTTATTTGGAGGTAATGCAGCCATGATACGATCGGGAATTTTGATCTTACTTCTTCATGTGATTTTAGTTTCATTTCACCTTGTTCCTTCTTTAAGAGGTCCCCATAAGTTGGCCATTCTCTCCAGCCTAATTCACGTCTGTGGCATGCCTCCATAGGGGATACCCATTGGGGAGTTTTGCTGTGAATCCTCTGCTTGTATTTGTTCCAGAGTCTCAATAAGGCTGAGCGGACGATGTGGTTTCTGAAACTTTTTTCCACAGCTTTCTTCCCATACCACAGGTAGCCATGCCAACCTGTTCTCAATTCATGTCCCTCTAAAGTAAGTAATCTACTGTTGTTTAGTGTTATCCATTCTCTCAGCCATTCTAGGCCGCTGGCCTCCATGTACAGACCCAAGTCAGGCAGTCCCAAACCTCCTCTTTTTCTTTCGTCTATCAAATTGGTGTAACTGATCCTTGGTTTTTTGTCATTCCAGACAAATTTGGCTAGGTCTCTATTCCAATCTTTATATATTTTGCCCTTCCTGAGTATCGGGATGTTTTGGAAGAGATACATCATCCTGGGGAGTATGTTTGTTTTTATGACTGATATTCTGCCTAGTAGAGATAGGTTCAGCGCTTTCCAATTTTTCAGATCTTTTTTGATCTCCTTCCATTTGGTGTCATAGTTGTTCTGTATTAATTGTGTGTTCTTGGCTGTTAGCTGTATTCCTAAGTACTTAATTTTGGAGGTGATTTTTACATCGATAAGTTTTGTTAGTTTTTCTTGTCTTGCCTTGGAGATATTTTTAGTTAACATCATTGATTTGTCTTTGTTTACTTTCAAGCCCGAGACTACACCGTATTCTTCTATTTTCTGCATCCATTTCTCTATGTTGGTAAGGGGGTCTTCTATGATGAGAATGACGTCATCTGCGAATGCTCGTAGTTTGAATGTTTCCTTAGCTATTTTTAGGCCTTTTAGGTTGTCATCTTGTCTTATATTGTTGAGTAGGATCTCTAATGCCAGGATAAAGATGAGGGGGGATAGTGGGCAGCCCTGTCTCGCTCCCTTTTCTACCTTAAATTTCCTTGATGCCTGCCCATTTACCCATACATCTGCCTCTTGGTCTTTATAGATCTCTTCGATGACGTTCATGAAAGAGTAGCCTATATCCATTTCTTTCAGAAGTGACTTAAAAAAGTCCCAGTTGAGCCGATCAAAGGCTTTCTCAGCGTCTATCGAGAGCAGGACCATTTCTTTTTCATTGTGCACTTCATAATATTCTATAACGTCTATGATGTTCCTGACGTTGTCTTTTATATTTCTTTGCGGAAGGAATCCGGCTTGATCTTCTTTAATCCATGAGGCTAAGAATGCTTTTAGTCTTTCTGCTATGATGTTACCTACTATATGGGGAAAAAATAGCGATTCTGAAAGAAATACCATCATCTGCGCTCGCAAAAAGAAGAAAATATTTCTTCTTAACAGAAGAACTGAAAAAAAGAGGATTAAGGTTCAGATGGGAAAGAAGCGAGGGAATCATGACAACATTCAAAGGAGAACGCTTCTGGTTAACTTCGGAAGAGAAAGCCCAGAAATTCTACGAAATGTTAACAAAGAATCCAGAAGAGGATCCAGCACCAGATGTGGGGAACCCAAACAAAAGAGCCAGAACGAATTCTCCAAACTCCTCGGATGTATGGGAGATGCGAGGGGATCGAGCTAAACCAACTTTGGATGGGCTTGAGGAGACAAGTAGCGACCTAGAAGGAAAACCTAAAGATGGAGTGGAAACTTAAATGCTTCTCGAACAACGTCAACGGGCTAAATTCACCCAAGAAAAGGAAAAAGATCTTCAGCCAAATAAAAAAGGGAAACTACGACGTAGTCGCACTTCAAGAAACCCACATCTCACAGGAACACAGCTCATACCTAATACAGAAACATCTGGGGAAGGAATTCCACTCATTAGCAACAGTTAAAAAAAAGGGGGTAGTAATCTACATAAAAGAAAATTTAGTGGCAAATCTGACTCTCAAAGACTCAGAGGGCAGAATAGTGGGCATAACGATAGAAAGAGGAAACCAAAAATTACTAATATGCAATATCTACGCCCCAAATGGAGCTAAAGGCAAATTTGTAAAAAAGCTAAGAGAACTATTAGAAGAACAGGAAGTCCAGAACATGATCATAATGGGCGACTTCAACGGGGTTTTAAATACAGAAGTGGACAAAACTACAAAAGATAAAGGGAAGAAAAGGAAGAAAGACCAAGGAAAGCTACCAGAAAGTTTCCTCAATTTGATGGACGATTTTGGCCTACAGGACACTTGGAGAGCTCATCACAGTAAGGAATTAGTTTACACATTCCACTCCAGTAGATATGACACATGGTCAAGGATCGATATGATCTGGTCAACAAAAACTTTAATACCAATGGTAGACAAAATAGAGATAAAGGCAAGAAAAGATTCTGACCATTGTCCCATGGAATTAATAATGAACCAAAAAACCAAAACTGGGAAGTGGAGATTAAACGAGAACATCCTCCGATCTGAAGAAGATATAGAAAAAAATAGAAAAATTCTGAAAGAATATTTCGAAATAAACAATACGCAAGGAATGGATAAGACCATAGTATGGGATGCAGGAAAAGCCGTGATGCGGGGACACTTTATTCAGCAAAATGTCAGGAAGAAGAAACAGAGGACCCAACAATTAGACAAAATACAACAAGAAATAGAAAAAGCGGAAAAAAGATACAAGAAAGACTCAAATAACAAAAAACTCAAACAGGAATTGGAAATATTAAACAAACAAAGAAGATACCTAGAAACGGAACAAATAGCAAAAGACTTAAAGTTCATGAAACAATATAATTTCCAAAACGCAAATAAACCGGGCAGATGGCTTACAAGAAGAATCAGAAAGAAAAAACAAGCACAATACATCACACAGATAAAGGACAAAGATAAGATTTATACAAGGGAACAGGACATTCAAGACCAATTTCATAAATAC